GCCCCGTCTGACATGTCGTGCCCCCGTCTGACATGTGGTGCCCCGTCTGACATGTCGTGCCCCGTCTGACATGTGGTGCCCAGCCTGACATGTCGTGCCCCGTCTGACATGTCGTGCCCAGCCTGACACGTCGTGTCCCGTCTGACATGTCGTGCCCAGCCTGACACGTCGTGCCCCATCTGACATGTCGTGCCCAGCCTGACATGTCATGCCCAGCCTGACATGTCGTGCCCCGTCTGACATGTCGTGCCCCGTCTGACATGTCGTGCCCCCCAGGGCCGCGAGCGCAAGCGCCAGAGCAGCCAAGAGCTGCCTAGACCTGGAGCCCTCCTGCCTCTGCTCCGGGGGCCTGTGAGGCTCCATCCAACAGACACAGCGCTGGGACCAGGTAACTGACTGTGCTGGAGAAGCTCAAATTCATAGACCTTTTTTTTGAGCCTGTTGATAAATGGGTGGAGCTGCAGTGGAGCTTCGGATCAATCACTGCAGAGACTTTTGAAATAAAGAGTGATTTTGCACTAATCAGTGAACTCACCTTTCTTGCAGCTGTCAGCGTCTGGTGAGCAAATGTCTCCACACCACGGTGGGGATTCTGAAGAAGACTGGAACCGAGCACTGGTGGCTGGAGAGGCACTTGAAGGATCCCTTTGTCAAGGCAGCAAAGCGGCACCATTACCGCTGCCGAAGCGCCTTCAAGTTACTGGAAATCGATGACAAGCTTCATATTCTTCGTCCAGGACTTTCTGTTCTTGACTGCGGAGCTGCGCCTGGTGCTTGGAGCCAGGTGGCTGTAGAGAGGGTCAACGCCTTAGGTACTGGTAAGTGCACATTTTTGGCAGCCAAGATGGGGATGATGCTCATCTTGAAGCATGTGAGAGGACTCAGCTGTGATGGTGGTGGTGCTGGGAATGGACATGGGTGCTGGCAAGTGCCAGAGTCACAGGTAGAAGCACAGGTGTGTGTACCTACGTGGCAGTGGAAAATAATAAATCTTCACATGGTCTAGAGAAACTGTATTTGTGAAATAAAACTTAAAGTGTGGTGCTCGTGTTCTGATTAACTGTGTTATGGAGATGACCCCTTCATTCAGTTCTGAAATTTGTATAGCCTCCAGCAGGTAGCTTGGCTTTTCTGAGGTTTTATTTCCCTTCTTGAAAAATGGTAGTGACCACTATCTACTGTTTATGTGCTTGAAGCCATCAATATTCACAAGACAAGGTGTTATCATCTGTACTAATGTCCAGGATTTGTGGACTGTCAGCCTTGGCAGAATAGGAGAAAACCAAGAAAAATACCCTTTGCTTATCCAAAGTAACAGAGTTTTCATGTCTTGAATAGATTAGCTTATAGCAAGGCATCCATCCAGACATACCTAACAAAATGTTTAAGGACATGAAGACCAGATATGGCAGGTGATATGTTTTTGTTTATGGACTAGCATGGAGCTCGTTTATATGCAGGTTGTTTGCCACCATTATGAGTGTTGAGTGTGTCATTCTTTCTTATCATCCAGATCCTGCTGTCCCCACTGGCTTTGTCCTTGGCGTTGACCTCCTGCGGATTTCTCCTCTGGAAGGAGCAGTCTTCCTGTCGGAGGCTGACATGTCAGACCCACGCACGCTGAGGACAATTCAGAGTCTGCTTCCTGCAGAGAAGGTGGATGTCATCTTGAGCGACATGGCACCTAACGCGACAGGGGTTAAAGACCTGGATCATCAGAAGCTGATCAACCTGTGTTTAGGCCTTCTGAGTCTGTCCCAATGTCTTTTAAAGCCGAAAGGAACGATGCTCTGTAAGTTCTGGGATGGACACGAGTCCCGTCTTCTGCAAAACAGATTGAAGGAGCAATTCCAAGATGTGAGAACTATAAAGCCTCAGGCCAGCCGGAAGGACTCTGCTGAGTCCTATTACTTGGCAAGACTGTACAAAGGGAGATGAGAGCTGAGCACCACAGATTGCCAAGCAGAACAGCAGACATGGACTGGACGTCTGAATTTGTTGTGTGTTTAAAGAAAAATCTCAGCATTAAGACCCTGGGAAAATCTGTCACAGTTCTTAAAAAATACATCATGCTTTTCAAATACAAAACCAAACAAGAATGGTGTCCTGCTGAGTTTATCCACTAATTATACAGAGACATCCAATCTAGCTTGTCACCTGTGGAGAAAACCTGGGAATGGAGAGGAGTAATCTGAAAGGCAACCTGTGGGGCTGGAGTAATGGAAATGAAAATAAAACTGTGATGATGAGAGTTTTTACTGTGTGCTTGAAAATCATTTCGCTGCCAGTGTTGTCATGTACGAGACATTAAGGCTGTTGTCAGAAAACAGTGAGGGGAGCTGAAGCCAATTTATTGCCACTTCATCTTTCTTAAAAGCTCATGCAATTTCCTAGCACATGTAAAAATAGATAACGTTGTTGTGCATGTCAGGTAAGATCTGCAGCCACGCAGGATATATGACTGGCTCTGGAATGTTTACCCTGATGGCTCTGCTGCTTTTCCTAAAGACACAGGTTATATTTAGAAATCACTACTTGGTGGGACACATAAATCCCACGAGTGACAGGAAGGCAGGGTCATCACTACCGAGAAGATAATTTCCCTTGTTTTCAGTACCGTTTTATGTGTGACCAATGATGCTTCCTCGGTGAAATGACAAGATGTTTCTTGGATCCTTGGACAGGGAAAATTACTGATTGACTTCTAGAAAGCTGTTTGCAAGAATAAATTTAGCCCCTGCCTTATCTGGAAGTGACAAGCTGGCGCTAAATAGCGCGTTTATCAAGGCGGCTGTGCCGGGAGTTCCAGGAGGGGCTGGGGCTTCAGGCTTCCAGATCTTTCCCGTCCCAAGCGCCGGGCCCGGGGCTGCCCGCAGGTTCGATGGGGTTTTCCCTGCCCTGCAGCCTGGGTACGGAGCGGTGTCACCCCAGCCGCCCCAGCTGCGGGCCCGGGCGCTGCTCCGGCTCCGTGTTCATCTCCGCCCGCTCAGCACGGAACTTTCCCACCTGCGGGCGCGCGCAGGGCGCGGGAGAAGCGCGTGCGTGCCCTGCTGCAGCGGCGGTGGGACAGGGGGGGGGCTGTCCCGGGCAGGGAGCGGGGGACAGGGCGGTGTTGGACGGGCAGGAGAAGCCCGCGCTCCCGGGCGGGGCGTTCCGGCCGCGGGTGCGCGCAGGCGGCGAGTGCGCGCCTC